TTGCCACAATTGGTAGGTGAGTAGGTCGAGTTTCCTCCATCACAAATCGGTGAAGCACCTCGTCGATGTAGGCTGTCTGACTCAGCAATATCATGTCGTTTGTAGCTCGATCCACCTTTATTCCCAGGAACTGGTGTGGTGTACCCATGTCCTTGATCTGGTATCGCTGCCTAAGTGCGGTCATGAGTCGCTGGCACTACTGTTCGTGCGCTACCAGTATGTCGTTCACATATATGAACACAAGCAGGAGAGAGTTAGCCATTTGAGCATAGTAAATGCGAGGATCACCTTGAGTAGGCGTCAGCTCCTAGTCGATCAGAAAATTGTTGATTTCCTTGTTCCACTCGCGCCCGGCTTGACGTAGGCCATATAGTGCTTTTCGAGCCCGCCATATTTTGCCTTCATCACCTTGCTGCGCGTATCCAGGGACTGGCTTCATGTAAATCGCTTCCGGCAGGTCAGCTTTCACGTATGCAGTCGGGACGTCATCTTGACGAGCTTGAAGCTTGAGCTTCACCACAATGACAAAGGAAGACTCTAACAGTAACCAGGCCAGCGACTGGAAGCGTAGGTTTCTATGAAAATGAACGATCCCACAATTTGCTTGTCACTTCAGCACAATGACGCGCTTTAAAATGCTCCACATTTCCTTCCGCCCCTGTCTTCAAGCGAAACTGCAGCGTGCGGCCGAGGACACGTACACCACTTTGAGGATCGAACGTTCCGTTGGCAAAACGTGAACTTATCTCATCGTCTATAGCTTGTTTCCACTACATCCATTGTGGTGATCGCTTTGCTTCAGTAAGATTCAGTGGTTCCTTGATAATTTCCTCATGACTAAGAGCGCTTGGGCATGCACCATTGTTCGGCGTGCGATACGTTGTGAGCGTCGGACGGCGCCAGTTCGGATGGAAATGCCCCTTCACGACCCCCCTGGTGGTTCTGTAGGTCCGTTTCCACTTCTGCATCTTCACCGTCGTTAAAAGCGTCATCCACTTCGGTAGTGGGGTCGACTTCAAACAGCATGCGATCGATAACGGAGACGTCCCTGGAAGCGAAAATCGATCGGTAGTATAGCCGTAGAGCCTCTTGTGTAGTGGGCCACGCCATTACATAAGTAGGTAGATTTATATTACAAAAGTAGGTGCAGCAGCACACGGCTAGCGTGTGCTGAACTGCCGTCATCCTATTGGGTTGATATATGGGGGATCCAGAGCCATTATCAGCCAATAAGGGTTTGACGTGTATTTGAGTGGTCAGGCTGGACCTAAATAAAAACAGAGTTGATTTTCCTTCAGACTAAGCACTTGGTTTCACTATCGCGGAACTTGCACGCTTCCTCATTATTACGTGTAAGCTAGTAACGGACACTCTAGGCCCGTTACATCTTGATATCCTCAGCTCACCAAATAAAAGCTCCTAGATACCCTCTAGTGTCGACAAAGCGTTTCTTCTTGCAGCTAATCTGGTCAGGCACTCGCGCTACGACTGCTTGGCCGAATATAGGGATGTGGCTTACGTCAGGATGTTGTCCGAATATACGCTCATAGGGTGTTGCTGTCGCACCTCGGCGAGGAGTTCGGTTTCGAATGTACGTTGCATGTTGAAGCGCGTATTTCCACAATGTATGAGACAATCCAGAATCGATGAGCCAGCCGGCCGCAGCCTCAGTCACCATTCGAATACTCCGCTCGGCCACTCCATTTTGAAAGGAGGTATATGGCGTGGTATGCTGCATGAGTATGCATTGGTTGTGGGCAAGCTTCCGGAAGTCCTTCTTTAGGAACTAAGTACCTCCGTCTGTGTGAAACACCTTAATAGAACTCGCATACACCTCAGCTTACCGTTCGATCATGGTCAAGAACCGCTTCACCATCCCTGGCGCTTCGTTTTTGCGTTTGATGGCGTAGGTCTGCACGAAGTCACGCCATACATCCACTGTAAAGTATCTGTACCCACCGATAGAGGAAGAAATTGGTCCAGTCAAGTCGATGTGGCAACCACCGTCTGCTACTTCGTCGGGGCTTGACCGAGCTCTTGGGATAGACTGTCGTGTCGTTTTAGTAAGTGCGCTTACTGTGCACATGGCCAGTTTTGCCCCGGGAGCTATGCGTAGACCTCGAACGACCCCTCCACCAGCCATCTTCTTTAAAGTTTCATAGTTGACATAACCCAATCTCATATGCCAATTTTCCAAAGTTCCTCTGAGAGCTGCGGCTGACAGTCCGTGTGCTGCATTTAGCTCTGCACCAAGTTGCCGAGAGGTTACCACTGAGTACACACCGCCGCGTAATCGGGCGATGCCTCTTGTCCTACCTCGATACACCGCTATGGTGCAGCTGACTGGTCCAAAGCTTACTGTATGACCGTCACGCAGCAAAGCCGATACCGATAGCAGAGTGTGAGGAAGCCCGTCGACCAAGTAGACTTTTTAACTAGGAACTCTTGATCTAACTCGTTTCCGCTTATGTCCTGGCCAAGCGCCTTGATTGGCCTGTCTTTTGCTTTCGTAATGACCGTTCTGCCGTCAGCCCCTCGAATGCCGAGCGTCACGTCGTCATCGGTTACTTTAAATCCTTTAACCCGGCTCGTCAGGTGATGCGACGCGCCCGCATTCACTAGGATCGGGCCCCACCCAACGCCAAAATTTGAAGCTGAGTCACTTCCCGAGGACTCGCCCTCTGTGTCACGTGCCTCCTTCGCTTTTGTCGAGTTACCTTGCGCTTGAGACTGATTAGATTCTTCCGTGATATTGCTCAGGTGCTGGCGGTGGTAATTGGCGCTGTGGCCTTCTTCTGAACCGATATAACACACGATACCGCCACGCCGAGGCAATTTAATAGGTATTCGATTTCGTTAGACGATAGCCACGTTCGCTTTCGAGCTGTACGCCTTTGGCTTCGGCTTCGCGCTGTTAGGCTTTGAGTCGGAACATCTTGTTTTGCTGTCGGTGTACGCTGCACGAGACCCGTCAGTAATTTTGCGGCGCTTGTAGTCGTCCAGACGGCCATCGGACTGGGCCAGTTCGCACAGGAACCCAACTGCTTCATTTAGAATACTCCCAGGCGCACCTAGCTTGTTACGTACATGGGCTTGCACGATGTCCTTCCTCTGCGGCCAAGCCAGCCTCACAACGTACCCAGGGTATGATGTACGTTAGCTGCGCTGGTGGTACCACCCGTTAGGCCGTCAGCCATTTGCATGAGCCTGTCTGCGTACTATTTTTATATTTCTGTGGCGCGCTTGCCATCCGAATAAATCTGGGTAGTAATTTCTTGGTATGTTAGATTGGGACGGAACTTAGCTACGAGTGCGCTGCCTTTATCTTCGAATGACGCGTTCGGATGCTCTATCCGGTAATTCCTCAACCAACGCCTCGCGGAACCCACAAGAAAAATCGAGAGCGCTGACGTTTTGGCAACAGTGGTCGACGTTTCGTCGATCACTGTTGTCCTGCAAGGAGCTGGGCGTCCTCTAGTTGACCTGCAAATTACTTCCATCAGTCGCGGATGCCGGAGCCATAGGCGCCTGGGGAAATCAATCCAGAAAAGGTTCCATCTTCACATTCCTCAAGTCAATTCTTCCAGTTTCCTTCTCATTACCATCCTCATTAGTTTCTCCAACCACTCCTGCCATAGCAGGGCGAGGCTTACTGTCGGGCTCGGTCGCACCAGGGGCTACAGCTTGAATCCCAGGGAGAGGCGGAATACCCGGAGTGGCGTTTGCTACCTCGAGCTGTATTGGCGCCAAGCCATGGGTCGACCCGATATCAGCAGGAGCTTTAGTAGCCCCTTGGTTTCGGTTTGTGCGGCGAGTCGTCATGGAGCGAGTTGCGGCTGTTACCCAGTTGAACTCGTGAGAACACTGCTTGTCTGAGAGGATGCAAATAGCAAAGTGAGATTAGGAATAGTCTTTTAAACCAAGCCGACGCTCCGGACTCGGAATCTTCCAGCAAGCTGTCCGACTTCTGGATTTAATACTAGCGTCATCAATACTTGATAGCGCTGGACTGCATGTACCACTTGTACATCGTTGACATTATGTAGTAATGCCAACTGATACGGCATGGTAGCCTTGTCCTTGATGCCGGTCGCATCGCGCTGGAGCGCCAGGGCCTTCGTCCCAAGCGTCTCTGTTAGCATGTCGTCCAGTCGGAGCTGCATGTCGCCGTAGTTTAACTTAGCCGTCCCATGTTCCACTTTTTGACGGAAGCCGACATGTATACGGAACGCCCGCAGGCGTTTCCAGTGAAGCCAACGCGGGCTATTTTGTTTACGGAGCGTTTCAGACAGCATTGGTGCGGGTTATTCGGTATATGGAGCGCACTCGGGCGTTCCAAGCTGTGGCTATACGGTTTACGGAACGCATTCGGGGTACTCCGGGTAGCGGGGAGTATACGGCAACTTATATGGTGGAAGTCAACGGAGCGCTGGGCTACCTGACTGTGACTGCACGAGGGTAAGCTTTGGCTTCTCATAGACCTATTGGTCGAGAGGCGACTGGTATCAGGTTGAAGACGACATCTAGCGGAGGCGGAATGCGTCGTGTGACACCATCGGGAACGGGCGTCTAGTGTAGGTAGAACACGTCCTGTGGCTCTCCCTGGAACCGGCGTCTAGTTGGAGGCGGAGAGCGACGTGTACCTAAAGCGAAGGAGCTAACGGCGATACTGGGGGGTACCCTTGAATGACCTATCCGTGTTCATGCTTTAAAATTTAAACCCGATACAGGCGCTGACAGCCGATGCGTATGCAGATCCGTACGGGTGGATGGGATTGAGTCTGTTAGTGTCGGTGTTAGAGAGCGAGCGCAAAGCGCGGGTTATATTTTTTTAGCTGGTTATGTGCCAAACTTGAAGCTTACCAGCAATGTACGAGGAGGCGTTCCGGACATGCCAGGCCTTAGTGTCATGGGGAGCGTGGACGGAGATACGCTGACGAAACGCGACGAGGTGGTCGACGCTGGTGAAACTACGCTCGAAGTGCGGGTTGTATCTCAAACTAGTCGTCCGCCGAAGCTGGTACGTACTCGGGGTGTACGACGAGGCGTTCCAGTCGTGGGTATCACGAGGAGTGCGAACATAGCAGCCCTGGTGGGACGCGACAAGGTGCCGGGTAAGGACTACGCTGACATAACGTAACAAGATGCCGGAAGCACTACGCTAACGGAGCGCGACAATCCACTGAGTTCTCGTGGGGCTACGTGAACGGAACACGACAATATACTGGGTTCTGAAAAAATCATGCTGGTGGAACGTCGGTTAATGAGTGCTAAAACGTTACAGGATCCCAGAGTTACGACTCGTGCTGGCGCTCTAGACAGGGAAAATTTTGGGAGTAGACCAACATGGAGCGAGGTGCCTCCAATCAGAGATAAAGAAACGTAGAACGGCTGGTTTCTACCTTGGGGAGTGTTTCTAATGACGCTCAAACGCTGCAAGACCCCACGGTTACGACGGAGCAGCAATTACATGGGCACATCACTCTATTGTATCAACGTAAAGGACTGGGAGTGTTTTGGGCGTGTGCCATGGCGACCGACGTGGGGCCAGGTACCCCAACCAGAGATAAAGCGACTTGGAGCGGCGGGTTACAATCCTAGTCGGGGTGCGCTCCCAAGGTATTTCGACAAAGTGCTCCAAAACATATTTACAAACGTTCAGAGCATTACGCCGCTGGTCTCCAAGCCGGAAACAATGCGTTTTGCAGCTGAGAAGGGTTTGTCGAGGACGACAAACATTGGACGGGGAGAAGTGTCACGATATATGTTCATCTGCCAAACTGACATGACTCGAGGGAACGCGTCCGCGTCGTGGGAATCGTGCGAGGAACGTTCCAGAAGTGGCTCCAAGCTCAAGGTCAAATGGCAGGCGAAGTAAAGAGGACGGATATTGCCGCTCGGGTAGCTATTGGTACTACAGGAGGGGTGTCATACTTAGGAACGCGTCTATGTCCGCCGCGCTCCGGTTTAGGCGACTAGATTCACTTTCGAATTTGCGGAGTATGGGGACACTAGCTACTTTCAACAAGCTTCACTTTACTTTTCTTGAGCTCTTCACTGCGCGTGAGGCCTGGGCCGACGGCCTTGCTACGGGAGTCTTTGACTTCCTCTTCTCTTCCGATCGACGTGGAGCTACTACGATTTGAGGTGGAGCGGCTGCGTTAGGCGTTCCAATATTGGTAATGGTCCGTGGTGACCCCGTACATCCCTGTCCCGTGACAACCGGAAGATTTTCACGCTCGTAGACCTCCTCGGGGAGGGGTAAACAGCTTTGGGAGAAGGCATCGACCCCTCGTGAGCTTATCATCTTATCTGCGACGTAAGAGTTGGATTTCAGCAGCTCAATCGACGCAATACTGGCACCTTTACTGCTCGGTTTTAGTGCATCGTGCCCTTTCTCTTAGACTTTAATGAACATTTCCATTGGTTTAAAAACGTTTTGGGCTTAGAAATACCTGATTAAAAACGTTATTTTCAATTAGTTATTTGGTAAGTGAAACGTACCTTAATCCCTTAGTTTCCAGGCTTTATTACGAGGGTATATTCTTACTCCGTCCCATAAACAGTATTATGAGAATTTGTAAAAAGATTCTTTCTAAGTCCGAATTTTTAAGTGCGGGCTAGGGCGGCGTATAAAATACACTTGAAGGTAAAGTGCTGGCATCTCCAACTTATGAGGAGCTTATGTATTAGATTGGGAACTGCTAACCAGTTTTGGCTTGACAAAAAACATAAGCAGTGACCTTTCTATCTATTATCCCGTGTTTAATGGCATTGCATACGACCAGCAGTAGTTTTTCATTTATTATGGTCAATGAAACAAATATAAAAATGTGGTTTCAATTGATTGCATTGGACATAGCCACCCATTTGGACACAACCCCATTGCTAACACCTCCATGCACCTCTGATCACCTCTGATCACCTGGACCACCAGTGAAGCTGCCAGCCTCGCTTTCAGAGACGTCGCCTTCACTCCCAGCATCTCTCTCACCAACTCCGCTGCCACCGCCATCTCCCCCGCTGTCGTCGTCACCACCAGCGTTGGCAGTAGTAGAGCCTTGCGCTCGTTGCCTACGCTTCTTTCCCGGTCGTGTGTTGCCGGCGGGCGCTCTCGTGTTTTGCGTCCCTCGAGCGGCTTGCCCGGGATGCTCTCCCATTATTCCACTCTGGGTGCTGTATGCGAAAGCAAGTATCGCTGACCTCGCGCTCCACGTTGCACAGATATTTCCTGCAGCCACCACAAGCTGCATTAGCCTAGCAATCCATACCACAGGCAACATCACCCACCGTTTGTTCCCTTTTAAACATTCCGGGTAGAAATACTTGGTGAATTTGCGCGGTTTGACCTTGTATACAGCGCACACCTTACATGAACGCTGGCGGCGTTTCACCCCCTGCTCACACTGGACTGTATCCGGATTCTCTTCCAGCCTGTGGTCGTCTTGCACTGGATCCGCAGTATTCTCAATGCGCGGACGTGAGCCCTGTTCCCCTCTTGTTGGAGACGCTTCTGTGCGTTCCTGAGCGGTTGCTGCTCGCTAAAATCGCGGCATCATAAAATAATTTAGCGTTTTGTTGAATAACCAAATCGTTTTTTTTCACCCTTGTGTTGGACGTGATTCAACATAAACTTACCTCGATCACCTCAAACGTTTCGGTCGAGTCGATAGCGAGCGGCTGCTCCATCAAAGTTTCCAGAAACGCGAAGTGTCTTAAAGGACGTTGGTCGTTTATCTTCGGGAAGTGTCGTTACACGAAGAAGGCGTTTACGACCGCCATGTCGAAAGGCCCAAGAAAGAGCGTTTTATAGTACTTTCGCGTCTTGTAAGAGGGTTGGACGCGATATCGCTGCATCCTCAGATGGTCATGGACGTCTACACCGCCCATCCAGTGGTGATAGTCCCGCACCAATTATGGAGCCGGGATGGGCTTCATTTCATCGTTGACACGACGCACTGCAGTACATAAGCATTAGTATGGATGTTAGAGTCTTCAAAATACTCAATAGATCAAAATACATAGATACATACGCACTACCTTAGGCCGTCGGCTGCCACCGGAGAACAGCATGTGCACTGGGGTTCAATCCACCCACATGACGGCTGTCAGCTGTAGGAAACGCTTGTTTTCGGCCAACTTGGTGGTACTCTGAGCTGGGATGGTAACCCTTTTCTTATTGACGGTCTTCGTCGTGGCCACGTCTTTCGCAAATCCAGAACGATCTACAGAGATCGTTCCGGTCAGGTATGTAGAAGCTTCAGTGCCAGCTTTACAGATGTATAGAGGCGGTCGGTAATGACCAGTCTCCACGGCGCGGTAGTGAAAGGATGATAGAAGGCGTTCACATTTCGGAGCACCGCCGCTTCGCCTGTGTTATTGTTCTTTGGTACGGGGTCTGTAGATGCGCCTTGGCACCGCAATATACTTCAATTCTATTGGAAAGCAGAAAAACGTTATGTAAGCTAAATGTTGGATGGTCAACGAGATTTGATGCCTTATGTTTGACATCAGACAGCATAGGGACTTTAGCAGAAACAAATGATGGCGAGTTCAAACTCGCCATCATTTTTTGACGCACCTCATGCAGTACGCGGTTTTGGCGCAGGCTGCAACGAGCACCTTCGTCCCCCACTTGTGGGGTTTATCCTTGTTTAACTGGCGAGTTGGGCGCTTCCGTGAAGTTTTGCTATCACCGCGGTTGCCCTTCGCGCTGGTAGACGCCTGGACTTCTGGGCTTGTCCGGGTAGAAGGGGCTGCTTCACTCGTCTCCCCTACCTCGACTAGGGATATAATCCCGGCAACTGCTGCCTCTACATCCGCAGCTACAGTGTCTTGGGGCTGTGGGTTGGAAGCTGATGCAGTATGTGTCGTTGTATCTTCCCCGGGTGTCGGGAAGGCATTGCTTCACATGGTCGGAACCTGCGCCGGGGCTCTCTTCTTGTCTGGTGGCGCCTTCCTCTTGCCCACCACCTTCTCATCCGCTCGCGGCGCTTGATTTTTCGATGGCGTCTCCTTTCCGTCCGCTGGCACGGGGTTATCTTCAACTGGGACTTCGATATCTTCTGCTGATGCTTCGGCTTCTTTGACCTCATCATCCTTCTCCTCCGCCGCACCATCGCCGCTGCCGTCATCGACGCAGGCTTCCAGTTTCAGGGCGTTTAGCGATTTCGCTGCGGAGGTTTATCTTGGGAAGCGTGCTGTACTCATGGTGCCTGCACCTCATTGTCAGCTGCTCGTCGATCGCGTCGCTTCCTCCGGCTTGTTACGGGGTTTCTTGCCAGTGGAAGCCGCCATTGTTCGCGCCAGCTCTTTTTATCAAATGAGCGAAATCAGTGGCTGTCGGCCAACAATTCTTGGTGGGTAAGGACACCGTTTTTATGGTGCTCTGCCGAAATGTCAAACCCTATACCTTTGCATTCGCTCAGTTTACACACACGAAATAAACTTAATCTTTGTATTACAGTGATGTCGATACAAATTATATGTAAAAAAAAATTTTTTTTATGTAGTACGGTATACCATAAAATAGATGCTGCGACAAAAACAAACTAGGGTATACACCCCTTATGTTGTAGGGTCCCGCATAATGGGAATTAAGGGGTGAAAGCTGGTCTAATACAGTAATACCAGGGCACTTTCCAAAACAAATCTCAATTTTAAACTATAAAGCCACATCCTGTTCAGCAGGTTGAGTTCACCCAAGCCAAAGCAACACCTTTAGTTTAATTCTTACAAGGGGGCAGTATAAAATTCAGCTGCTGCTTATGTATAATTTAAAAGATGGTTTAAAAATTGTTTTACAGCTAATCATTTCCTTCGAGAAGCTTATAATAGTTCACCTTAAATTGTCAACTGTGTGCGGCTTCAGTCTAACCACTAGATTTTGATTCTTGTTAAAACTATTTGTCCTTACCGACATCCATCAAAGTCAATGTGGGATTAATGTAATCAATACCAGACACTTTAGGTCGCATGGTTAGTCATTGAACCCAGAGGTTTCCCGTGTGAAATCTCTGATCTTTGACTGCGTATTACCCATACTATGGTATGGACTGACCAATTAGGTTATCAATCTGGTGTTTCTTTATAATTAAAGTAGCGAGTTGCAACAGTCTTCTGTAGCTTGGCCAAATTTCTTAAAAAGTGTTTTATCAGCAGTTAAAGTGTTTTGTTAGCGATGTAACTTGACCGCTATTGATCAACGACGAGTTTGGAAGCGCTCACTCGTCTTGAGGCTCAGGTCCGAGCATATGCATTATCAGAAACTTTGATAGGGACGACTCTTTGAATCGTATAGATCAAGGTATATATCTTGACCTCTTATGTACAGTTTTTAACTCGAAATTTTCAAGTAAAAGCTCACCAACCTACAAATGAACAATCTTACTCCACCAGCATGTAACGGTACCGGTTCATTTGGTCCTAATCCAGTGCACGAACAAATAGGATCGTATCGATCTGGCAATCGATCGGTGTCGAGAACCAGGTTGACGAGGGAAAACAGCTCAGACAGTGTATCGTTAGCGATCGGACCGCAGCGACAGGTGTTTTCGCAGTGAGCGGTACAGCGAGGAATACCGATCGAGTCTAAACGATGGACCGCAGCCTATTCGCAGGCTTTCAAGCGGGCCAACGGAGTTTAAACCGTCTTTGGCAGGGTCTCTGACGAAGAGCGCGCAAGATGTCCACGTGACAATGCAATGCATGTTCGTGCGAGCACTAACCCAGCTAAAACCTTACCACGTCGATAAAGTCCGTACCCATCGTTTCGTGAGTTTCGGCCATGTCCGATGGGTGATGCGCATGGGTCGCGGATTTGAAAGCAGATGTAGCTGACCAAGTAGTAGGGCAAGAAAAGAGGTGAAAATAACTACGTACTCTCTCCTTCTATACCAGTTTGGTGAGTGGGGATCCTCAGACGGTGATACACCTCGGTGAAGTAAGGGGTGCGATGG